AAGCCGTACAATCTCAACTTTCTCGACCAAACTAAACTATTGACATATAGCTGTCGATCTACTTTGTCGCCATATCCTGCACGAACACTTATCATCAGCACTACCAGACACCACCTCAGGTCAATCGTCCGATAAAATCAGAAACCTAACTACATGCCCCACAAGTACTTGAGAGGAAGAGCCTTTAGCAAGATATAATCTTCTCGGAACGACATCCTCCAGCTCAATAGCCCCGCGCAGAGATCTATTTGTTCTTTTAGCCCTCATGACAAATAATCCTATGACAATTCGTTTCCTAAAAACCAAGAGATCCATACATCAAAATCGCAAGACAAGCAAGATCTTCCAAAAAAACCCAGCCCCTATATAACAGGTTGCTCTGTATGTCTTCACTTTAAGGAACCCTAATCAACATCAATCAACACAGAAGACAATATATGGTGAATATCACTAGTGTTTTTAACAGATTTTTCTTACTTTGATCTTATCACAATTGATTTACAATTTCGTTTTTTGATCGGACCTACTGCAGAGTGTGGGCCCCTAAGTCGACAAGGCAATCTATAGTACTGATTACTAAGCTCGTCACGTCATTTGAAAACCACCGAAATTATGTACAGTAACCCAAAAAACATAAGTCGCAAAGGAAAATGTGTTTCATTTGTAGTGGTAAGGCTGTGATATCTGCAAATATCTGAATGCATATATGGCTAATGGCGAGAAACCCATAAAAAATATATTCTACCCTAATAAAATTGTGTAAATAATAACTCGTAATCAAATACCAGCCCGAACATGCTGCGCAAAATGAACCTCTCGCTCCAAGAAGCCTGAAGTATGCTCACAACCTACCTAGTGAAAGTAAAAGGAGTAGAGGTTGAGGTTGATTGCCTGTTGTCAGGCTCCAAGAAGGGATCAACAGGGTAACCGTCATTATCGTAATTCAAAACTCTCAGCTTTGCTGAGGAAGTACTTTGATTTGGGACTATCCAAACCAATTGGCGAGGACAGCTGAAAATTCCGGCTGATGTTGGGCCAGTAGGCGAGCCCTCCAAGACTTGTGGTTGAAATGATAGATTATCCAGACAAAGAGAGCCATGTGCTTCGAGGTGGAGAAGCGAAGTTTGCACTGGAATGCGGATTAGGCGTCGAAGCCTAGCACTGACCATATTTTTGTTATCTGGGGGTAAGGTCGAATCAATGGGGTATGAGTCGGCATAATCTGTTAGAAAGAGAGACGAAGTCGTGAGATTGTCAGGAAGTGTCGGTGATGGAACGAATTCACTAATTAAAGGAAGGCTGAGGTTTAGCCAGACGCCTCGAGCAGGCGTAGTGGCCGCGGCAAACCCAGATGAATCCATGGTACCAGCATTGGGGACGTGCGAGAGCTGATCAGCAGTCGGCTGCTTGTAGACAACTCTTTCTGGAGTTCCGGGAAAAGCGGGTTTAACTATCTGTATCTTTGGCCTATATAAATCGAATCAGAAGAGAGCAATAGCAATGGAAAAAAAAATTCGTCACCGCACGCATTGTATAGCTGGTTTAATTAGTAAGTATTCCATAATTAATGTGATCTGATTAATTTAGAAAATATTTGTCCTATATGAAGGTCACTTTCAATTTGGAAACGGGTTAAATACCAGTTATATACGATACAATAATTCGTCCTATAAAATAATGTTAAGGGTCCATCTGCAAAAACGACTAAGTTGTAAGAACCAAATCAAGCCAACTCTAAACAGAAAAAAATACTGCGAAAAAACAAAGAACCACAGTATCTTTGTCTTCAAATACGGATAACCAAAGAAGAAAATAAGTTTGTGAAGGTTGACCAAAAGCCCATAATCCCAAAGTCCATCAACTAAGCAATGTAATTCCTACTTAACGAAGTACCAAGTCTTTATAATTAACGTATTCTCCAGCCAACTCCTGAATAGGAGGAACAAGTAGAAAAAATAAGTAGGAACTATTTTTGGCCGTTGGAGATGGAGGGAGAAAGAGAGAGCAAGAAAAACCCCAGAGCGGCAGATGGAAGCTGGATTAGCCTCGAGTCTAACTAGGGCTATCACAACTTTTGTGACATCAACATTAAATACACACAACAGGCAATCGCACATACCTAAACATGAGTTAGTAGTAAAAGATTGTACGCTAGTTTATTTGTGTAAGAAAATAGCTGGTAGGGAGTAGCTGTACATGAAGTAACTTCATTCATCTGCAAGCACGTAGAGTATATTTGAGATTCCTCGTTGAGATTACAAGGATAGGTATAAAATGTGACTAGGTTTGCAGGCGAACACCTTTTCTCTTGGTTTAGAATATATTTTTGTACTATTTCGTAAAGTAAGGATTTGTACTCTGATGATGTCCGCCACAATGGTGCAGATGAAAGCAGGACGGTAAACCAAGGACTTCTTCGCACAAGTCAACAGTTTTAACTTCGTGGTAACCCTTCTTTGATTTAAGGAGAGACCATTCTACGAATTCCCTTCATCCAACTTGTCCTTCTAAATGGAAGATCAACACACTAAATAGACTCAGTTATGTGAGTACGAGCCTCGTAGCACTAAGAGTGAAGAGAAAGTTATATGATATTTATTGCGCTAATATATAATATAATATAATTAAGATTAGTATATTAATGATTCAAGAGCTAACTGTTTTTATCGATTAACAAATTCATTAACCAACCTAACAATTTGCATTCTCCTAAGCAAATAGATTCTTAAAAAATTTGTGCATTTTTTTGAAAACTAGGAACAGGATTAAGACATAAGTGCAGCAGATATGCTGAGCGGATTCAGAGTGCTTTACTATGGAAATCGACTACATTACTTATTTTTCGTTTATAAGTAGGTTTTCGAGGCTACCAGTAGATCAAATATATGAAAAAATTAAATGATTAAAAACTAAAAATAGGTAATGTAGTCGATTGCTATAGCAAACAAAAATTTGGTTCAACGATAATCCCACCAAAGAATATGAAATTGAAAAATTTTTGGTCTTCTTTGAAATTCGCATCTGCCCTGTAAGCCAAGACCCCTTGTGACAATATGATGAAGTAGTTAACGTGTTGAGATTTCACGCTGCACTGTTATTGTGTAAATCCCGCTGAGTTGTTAATAAGACCTATGCGAGGTAAAAAAGCAGTCCACTCTGGATGAGAACACCTTTTTGGAAGCAAGGCTAAATCTACTCATATTACTGTGA